GTTTTCCAAGCTCGTGTATTATAGTTTATGCGTTACTTTGTAAATATATAATTAGATTTTCCGCTTTTAATCAAAATTGCTGGTTTTCATTCTAACTGCCATTCACTTGGAGGGTATGCCTCTTCGACGCCTCTGCTTGCAATTAATTATTTTTTTATTGCATGATCAGTTGAAAATTGCTATTTCACAACAGCAAAATATTGCAAGTGAAGTGAAATAATCATTTAAAACTCATACATATATATTGACATTTTTAATATGTAAATACTTAAGCCACATATACATGACTACAAATCTAAGTGTGAGTGAATAAAAGTAGGAGTCGGCTTTGCATGGCATTCAGTATTTCGCCATAAAGAATAAAAATACTTTCATCAAGGTGTTTACATACATATTTATATACACCTATATGACTAAGTATATTTATTTACTTTCTCTGCTATCTTTTAAAATATGTTTGTAGGAGTGTGTTTTGTAATAAAGTTGGATTTTAAGCAAATCTACATTATAAGCAAATTAGTATTTCTAAAGGGGTTTACCTGTAGTAAGTGTGCGAGATCTCAGAGACCCTAGAAGGATGAACCAAAACTTCTTCTCCAAACTGTTAATCCTTCAAAATTTTTACAAATCTTCTCTCCGCAAATGGCATCTTGTCACCCACCGCTGTAGCGATTTTCGGCTGAGGGACCTACAGTTTATTCTAACCCGTTTTTGAATGGTCGAGGGATTTTTATAGGGAGCATTTTATTTCATGTTCAGACCACGATATACCAAGCCCTCAAACCAACCCATCCAGCGCTCCTCTGCCTCTCGCTTTGGTATAAACCAATCGAAAAAATTGTCTAAGGTCTTGTCGTTATATGAAATGGATTAGTGTTTTTTGCACAAATCACTGGTCTGAAGTTTCCTTCTATTATATGGGATCAGTGGGGTTTTGTTATACAGTATCTGTTTTGAAACGTTCCTCAGTCCTCTAAACTGCGGAGCTTGTTTGCAAATCCAAAACGAGTTCTATAGATATGATCGGAGAGAAACAGTTCAGATTAGCCTGCATTTCCTTCATGCGTCAACTGCTACTAATGACAGTTTTGCTCGTGTGTAATGCCAGTAAATTGTGACCCTTCATTAGGCCCTTTTCTACAATTCTTTCTAGAAGGCCCCCTAATCAAAATGAGAGTGTGCTTTCCTTGTGTGTCATTGTACATGATTTTGGCGATCTGGCATCAGTGAAAACTGAACCAGAAATTTAGCATTGACAGGGGCAGGACATGAGGATTGCCCTGCCGCATGGTAGAAGAAGCAAGTTGTCTATCTTGCCAAGTTGTGATCACCTGCTAGGGCGGGAAAAGACGCTTGTGCAGAGAATAGAAGAAAGAGGCCAAGATGCGTGAGTATGGTGAAGCTTGAAAAGCTGACCGACCAATACTCCTGCTCCAAAATTCTACAAAAAAATGCGTCAACTTACAGAAGTTTTCAAGACAGGAACAAACTCTTGTAGATCACAGAGATCTGATCTAGCGGCTGATGCACAGAGTATAACAGAATTTATGAAGGGAATACTTCTCCAGCCTGCCTGAATGACAGTGAAAATAGAATACCAGAAGATGGCGAGCCCAATTCCCTAATCGATGACGATGACGATAGAAAAGATGTTCCACTGCCTTACTGTGAGGGAATCCAAATACTAATTGCCTGCTTGAGCTACTCAAATACGATGGCGAAGCACAAAAGAGGTGCATGCATCAGTTTCGTTGCAAAACAGGTCGTATTTATAATTTCGTCTATCTTGAAACCAGTATTAACTCCAATAACATTGTCAGCCTTGAATGTCTTACCAAGAGGGGCTACTTTGGACTGAGTGGGCAATTGTAAAGTAAATTCCTCTCTTGCCGGAAAAAACCAAGCTCTACAAGTCGCAGTACTGCTAGAAGATGCCGAGGCATGGACTACGTCCGTCCGCGGAGTAAGATTACAAGGATTTAGCTGTGGTAAGGCATGTCCGTCTTAAGAGGCGACTAAAATCCAAAAGTTCTCCCAACATTCGGGTCTTCATACCCGAATGATTCGGATTTTTATCCCTTGAAGGGCTGAAAAACAATTCCGGGGAATATTTTGCGATCACAACAGCACGTTGACTGGGTCATGATGAATTAGTACACTCCAGCTTTGAAAGTTTTCAATGCAGCACCCGTCGATGGAAGCAGGGGGGCAGGAAGACCTCCACTCCTTTGAAAAGACCAGATATTGAAGGACTGGCTGTAAGTGGTATTTACTATTGTAGACATAGTCCTCTTCTGTTGCTATTTATATGTAATTTAGTAAAATATTTAAAATAATTTTATTTACATATGTACATACTACTTGTATTTATGTATCTGTTAGATGTGCATTAAATATGAAAAATAATAAATAATTTTTTTGATCCATTTTAGCCAATAATACCGCAAAAACAAAACGTTCATTGGCTATAGCGCGCCATTATTTGGCCATGTAGTGCATGTATGTACATACATACATATGTACAGTCATTACGGCTGTAGCAGCAGCGTGAGAATAAATCGTTTATAGTAAGTCAAAACACAAAATGCAAAAAATAAACAAACTACATGCATAGGCACATACATATGTATGTATGTACATACTCCAAAAGCGCATTTGCAGATAAACAATTAAATTTGTTTTGTTTCTTTTCCCACTTCATTTCAATGCAGATCTCTGTTTGCGACATTGCGGCAGAGGAAAATGAAAGTCAAAACAAAACGGTAATAAGCCAAACTTGTTGGTATCTGCCTCTAGCCGGTCCGCGTACTTGCTGCATGCCGGCAAAGCTGGCAGAACAGTCGATGCCACTCTTTATTATTATTATTTTTTTTTTGATTTTTCATTCTTTTATTTGATATGCAGCAGAATTTGTGTTAGCGGCGTTTACAGATGAGATGAGTATGTTAATTACGCTCAACGAAATTCCAAGTAGAAGAGTATATGAGACGCAGCAGCACTGAGTGGAAATATTTTGAGCACAATGAATTTCTCTTCTCTGCCAGTATTGCTGTGCCAGCAAAAAGTACGATATGCTATATGATACCAAGAATGATACAATGAAAGGAAGGTAGTTTCGCTCAATATAAAAATGACCGAAAAAGAATTATTGACATTAAAAAAGTCAACTTTGCCACTTTAAAATTTTTATAAGAAATTTAATTAAATGAAAAAATAAATAAAAAAACAAATAAAATAAAAATAATAAATAAAAAAATTAAACAAAAATAATAAATAAGAAAATTAAACAAAAATAATAAATAAGAAAATAAAATAAAAATAACAAATAAAAATAAAATAAAATAAAAAAAGAATAAAATAAAATAAAATAAACCAAACAAAAATAGATAAAAATAATTAAATAAAAATAAATTAAAATATATAAAAAAAAAAAAAAATATAAAATTAGATTTCAGAAAATAACAAGCAAAGCACGTATGTAGGTACACAAATATTTTGAATAAAAAAATAAAAAAAAAAAAAAAATTAACTAAAATTTTATTGCAAATCTTCGTCTTCTGGTAGGTCGTAAAAGTGGTGGAGTAGGTCCTCGCAACTACTAGGGGGAGTAGATTATCACCCCATTCAAATAAAAAATATATCCGTAAAGGCGGGAAATAGTTTTTCATTCCTTCCAGAAAGGTAGTAGATCACCACGGCCTGATTTAATATACAATAGGAGAGGGTATACCTCTCCAACTTCCCCTGATGCCTAAAATAGTACCGCACATACAGATAGTTATTGGATACTTAGGTATTCTGTAAATACTACCACACTACATTTCCTGTTATTAGGAGCTCGATTTTCCCCGCCAGCGTATTTATTATTTATTTTGGTAAAAATTTTAATTTTTTTTTTTGGTACATAATAAAATAAATAAAACAAATATTTTCAATTACCGGATACACTGTCCGTAACATAGATATTGAGATTGTTATAGGATAAGATTAAGGAAAACTTTTGCAATTTTATGTGTGGAAAATTGGCTGTTTAAAAAAAAAATAATAAAAATCATCCTTTGGCGGAGGGATTTCATTTGCAAAATTCGTGTACCAACTTTTACAGGTTATGTGACATTTGATACGGACTTTCAAGAAAATAATATGAGAAAAATCGCGTTTAAAAACTTAGTTTTTAAACGGGTTCAAAATTTCGGACGATATATTTAAAAAGGTATAAGATAAAGAAAAAAATATTAAAAAAAGTGTTTTTTTTTATGATGCCCTTAACACAAAATCATAAATTTAATACTTTTTTTTTTTAAACTAGCGATCGGATACTACTAATCAATGTCAACCGTTCTAAAATTGATACCTTTGAGGTAACGGTATCTATTGGTGACTATAGACTGAGTGAGTTCCAGCATATATCTCTTTAAACTAATATTTACTAATTTTTAAGAGATTTATGCGTTATTGAACATTTTTCGATTAATAATTGCATGTTAGACTCTTATATCAAGTGTCCCTCAGAACATGCTGACTATATTTGGGCCAACCAAATGCCAAATGCATCTTAACGTTTCTAATTATATGGATTAAAATAGTTTTTGAAATCGTTTTTTACTTTTTTTTAATAACCAAATAAAAAACAAACATACAAAGTCATAGCTGACAAAAACGAATATTTATCCAACAAATATTGACCATAAAGGAATCCATTATGAGCAGAAATGAAAATAACCTCACTCAATAGCAGCAAAATCGTTTAGAAAAATTATGCCCGGCATTTTTAAGAAAATTTTGAGCATAATATTGCTCTTTCCATACTCAAAGCTATGCTCCGCGTTTGAAATACCACTTTTCCTCTAGTTATCACAACACGCTCAAGGTTCAATGAAGCTGCTGCCTACTACATTCGCTCACTCTCTCTATTTCGCTCTCTCTCTCTCTCTGTTATTTCTATATTGTACTATTATATTTTTGTACTATGGTCGACTAATAAAGGCACAAAACACTCTATCAACGTTCTTCATTCGTTCGTACGCTTTGAGCCTGTTCGCCGCGTTTTGTGTGCGTCGTGTGGTTTAGCCGTAGCTGCAACAGCTGTCATCGCTGCTATCAACTAAAAACGTTTACATTTGTTTTACGTCGTCGTGTCGTCGTTCTTTCTTTTTGACCAGGGCACACATTTCTCTGACTTCAATTCTGTTTCAAATGCGAAAGAGGATGGTCAAAAAATTTTCTTGTAGCAATTAAGCAGCAAGAATTGAAACGTCTTTTAGTTGTTCGACTACAACACTTATGCAAATATTGTGAATATACAGTCGCGAAGTGTTTTGTGAAAGAATTGCGGGGAAATAAGAATCTGCCGAAAATATTTAAAAGGAGTTTTATTAGAATACCACCTTTAAATATCAACACAATTCAATAAAAATTTTGCAGAAAACTTAGATTGGACAGTCGCCAACTTCATTCCACCACACAACAGTAGCAGCAGCAGCAGCAACGCAAAGAATATTGCGCTCAACACGAATTAAATTCCGGGATCGCGAAAAATATAAAGTTTTTTTGCGTTTATATCCAGTTAATAATAAAAATAATATAATTACACAAAGGCAAAAAAATTGCTAAATTAATTAATTTTGCAAATCAATGTGAAACATTACCAACAAAAACTGACCAACCAAATCGAAAAGGAAAATTTCGTACTATTTTCACAAAACCAAATAATGAAAATTTATACCTAATCCGTGCTACATTTTTTTAAAATTGTAGCCGTATAAATTTTTCAATCATAACTGATGTATGATTTTTTATTGTGCAAATAATTTAAACAAAAGAAATTTGCAAAGTGAAAAGTGAAAAAAAATTTCAACTGACTGATGTAAAAAATATCAAAAAGTGGAAATAAAAATCTATAACTTTTTCTTATTTGTGAAAATTTAAAAGAGTTTTTTATTCACTGAATAATATAATCACTGAAGGCAGTTAAGAATTTTCAACGAAAAATTTTCGCAAGAATTTTTGAACGATAGCAGCCCCACCAGCTAATTTAGCCGGAGAAGCCACAGTCAAAATACAAAAAGCTGTGAGCAATTGCTGTCATGCATAGAGTTGAAAACAATACCAAATCATACATAATCTCGAAAAATCGCAATTTTGCAAATAATAAACAAAAGAAGAAACTTAGTGCAAATATACTTTTATTACACAATTTGTGTAACAGTTTTTGTGGGCAAAGTATAAGAAAAGTGAGAAAACATATATTCAATATTAACGCGAGTGAAAACATTCATACCAACAAATTATACTCAAATCTATTTGTTGCTAAACGTCTGTTTCCAAGAGAGTTCAATCGCAGCATTGTTGTTCTATCGCCTAGTAGTCCAGAGTGAGACTTTGTAAAGGTATACATATGTATATGACTACGAAATAGTTGAATATATAAAGATCCGTTATAAACACAACGGCAAAGCATTAAAACACAAGACCATTTGTGCACTAAGCAAAAATTGTCAGGTTAGGCAAGCCAAATATTTTGAAAGGAAACAAAGAGCAAGGTGTAGAAACAACTACCTACTCTACTACAGGCTACTAGCTCACAGGCAAGCATATGCACCGAGAAAGGTCAAAGGGACACTAAACGGGAATAGAGTGTTTATTTGCTTCCTGTTGTCCAACCAACGCGTACTACAACTTTGTTTTTATTGACTACTACTATTCCTTGACGAGTGCAAAAGGCGCGAAATTATTTCGGACTAAAATAAGTGTGTTAATTAAATTAAAAAAAAAAAAACAAAACAAACAAATTTGCAACAAAAAAAAAAAGTTTGCGAAAAAAGTTTAAATACACATTGACAAATTGAAGAAGGATTAAACAACAAACAACGAAACAACAGCTAACCAAGAATTGACCACAGGTAAAGTGAATTTTTCAAAAAAAAAAAAAAATTTTAATTAAAGTAAAAGTAGTTAAGAAAACTTATACATGTAATTCTGCAGTCAAATTTAAAAATAAAAAAAAATAAAATTAAATTTTTAAGTGAAAGCGTGTGCGGCATATACTCGAACAGTTTAATTCTATACAATTTTTCAATACGAAATTGCAAAAAAAAAAATTTCTTCTGCCTGCATTGCAATTATTTGCCAGGTATAGCAGTTTGTTATTGTTTACTCTGTCTACTCTAAAATAAGCGCGCAGGACTTATGTACATCCGCTTGCCTAAAAATAATTATAACTGTGCTATATTGTTTTTTTTTTAATTCGATTTTGAAAAAAAAAAAAATCGAGCAAATAAAAAATGCTGTATTTTCTAAAGTTTTTGTGTTAATTAATATAAATTTAACAAAAAATTAAATTTTAATTTTTTTAAAATCAACTTCACAACAAAAAAAAAACTAAATCATATATTTCGAAAAATTTAAAATTCAATTTATTGAATTATAGTTATATTTTACTGCTTACAAGTGTGTTCTATAATTTTCAAAATTTTCTTTAATGTACGTTTACTATTTTTTCTAAGTTTAATTGTTGAACTTTTTTATATAATTTTAATATTATTAATTGATTTATTTTTATTTCTTTAATTAAGTTATTTTTATTTATGTAATTAACTTATTTTTATTAGTTATGGTTGCTTCGTTTTTTTAATTTAATTTTTTAGTTTAATAATTATCATTTAAGTTTATTATTATTTAATTTATGTTTATTTTTCAATTCACTATTTGTTCTTTTTAATTTTCTGTCCTATATTATTTTAAACGTTTTATTTTTCTGTTATTCTTTTTTTATTTTATTTTAATTCTCTTTTACGTTTTTTAATTTTTTCTTAGTTTTCGATTATTTTCATTAGTTAATTTTCTATTACTTAATTCAAATTAAATATAAATATTTTTTTTTAATTTTCGAGTATTTTTATTTTTTTAAATTTTTTATTTATTGTTTTAATTTTATTTTTATTTTGATTTTAATTTTTCATTAATTTTTTTAATTTTCGTTTGTTTGGTTTTTAAATTTTTTTTATTTATTTATTTTTTCCTATTATTTTTGCTTTTTATATTTTTTCTATTTTCTGTTTTATAATTTAAATTTTTATATAGAATGTTTTCAAGTGAATTAGCTGAAAAGCTGTACCGCCTTTTTATTGCTTATTGCTTTGACGTAGTTTTTTTTTTTTGCATTTATTTACGCGTACACAAATATGTAGTACATTTACAGTTAGAAGGAATTTTTTATTGTTATAAAATCTTCTGTTATGTTTGTGTGTCTATGTCATTTAACACCATCCTGTTAGGTCCAGTTGTGACTTTTTTTGTACTGTCTAGAACACTAACAGCAACAAAAAATAAATAAATAAATAACTTTGCCAATGACGTGTGTGTGGGCCTCTCAATTCGCAAGCTTGCCTTGTTATGCACATTCTATTGTAGGCGTTAACTGCGAAATGTGACGCTAACGTCGCTCCTTAGCTGTTCAGCGGGTGGCAGTGCGTCTCAATTGCAATTTCTCTGAATTTACAGTTACATCTGTATGCAATTTATAGCAATAAAGAAAGAGCGAATAGTAAGAATTGATAAGTTGAATGGAATTCACACTTGTTTGATTTCATACATACATATTTTGATGACGCAGTGTTGTATTCGTTGGCAATTTTTTCTAGGAAATTTTACGTACGTACGTATGCAGGTAAAAATATCGGTGACTAATGTTTAGGTAATCTAAGTAATGCAATTAATTACATATGCATATTAACTTTTAGTAATAAAATTTATTAAATAAATTAAATATTTTATGTAATAATTCTTAAATATTTTTAAAATTAATTAATTTAATATGCATAGTATTTATGACAAGTTTTTGCATCATTTACACAAACTTTAGTATTTTTTTTACAACTTCTCTGCTGATTTTATGCTCAGTTTGAGTGTTATTTTTTTTTTAAATTATTTTTGCCAGACTTCTCAATGCTTCTACCATTATTTATGATGTTTACATTAAAAAAATGTACTGCTCGTGTTATGCATTTTCTGACTGATTTGTGGTGTACATAAGTACAAACATCTTTTTTTTTCTTTAATTAAGCGTAGCGACTGTAACGTTTATAGGGTAGTGAATATTATTCATAACATAAGATTTTATAATAAAAATAATAAAACGAGATAAAAAATATATATGTCCTTGCATATATATACACATGTAATATAATTAAAAAATATATATTGTACATATATTAATTTGTTAGGTTTTTTCTTTTTTTATTACTTATATTGTATGTTAAATCTTTTTTAAAGTATTTTTTTATTTGTCCTCTTTTTCTTTATTTTATATGGTTGTGTATATATGTAGGTACATAATATATTATATATATTGATTTGATAGGTTTTTTCTTTATGTTTATTAATTTTCAAAACTTATCAGGTATTAGGTGCATACGAGTATTAAAGTTTTCTAAAAAATTTTTCTCTCATTTCTACATATATATATACTATAGATATTATTATAAAATTTTATCTATTTTTTTATTTTATTACTTCTTGAAACTTATACGGATTTAAATTTTTTAAAATCATTTTTTTTTTGTGTTATGTTACATATTAAATTTACTTTTTATTATTTTTATCTATTACTTTTCAAAATTTTACATATTAAATTAGTTTAAAACCATTTTTCATATTTTTCAACTTTACTTTATATATGTACCTATATATTTACATAATATAGATATTATATTAATAATTTAAAATTCTTCTTTTTAATATTGTTTTAAATTATTTTTTTTAATTTGAATAATTTATTTTTAATTTTTTTATTTAATTTACACATTAATTTTTTTTAATAATTTTTTTTATTTATCGACTTTATTTTATATATGTACATATTTACACTTCATATATATTAATTTTATAGGATTTTATCTAATTTTATTTTTTATTTTTTCGCAAAACTCTACAGTTAAACATTTTTTTGAATAGTTTTTTTTAATATTTTTTTTTTTTAATTTTTTTAATATATTTTTTTAAATACTTTTTTTAATATATTTTTTTTAAATACTTTTTTTTTGTATATTGTAACACAAATCTAAATTACAGCCAGCGTTTTTTGCAGCGTATTTGTTTTTGGGTATTAAATTTTGCATACGAAACACCGAAATACATACATACTAATACTACACACATAATTCATAATAAACCGCATGCCGGCCGGCAATGTTACTACTGATTAGCCTCATGCATACATATGTACGTGTATGTCTGTATCTTTTCTTTTTTTACGCTCGATTGGTATCAGCATTTATGCGAACTTTCATGTTTGTGTACAATAAAAAAAATATATACACGACGCATTCTTTCTGCATGCATCAATAATTGCCTTTCAAGTTTCATTTCTTGTTTACTGTGTTGCCTACATTTTTATCGTTCGTTCGCTCGTAGTGGCTTGCTGTGTTGATTGCTGTGCGCCTAATCAATGTGGACATGCATTTATGTATGTATTTATTCAATATGCATTTCTTTGTGTGGCGGCATGTTTTTGATGATTACCACACGTACATATATATATATATATATGTATATGTGCATATTATTATTATCTAACTCATTATTCTTTCATTCATAAAGATCTCAACTTTTTAAATATTTTCAATTGTTTTTTTTTTGTGTTTTCACACTACATCACACATTTTCACGTTTTTTTTTGGTGTTGCAGCACACCTGCATACAAAGATACCGGCTAAAAACAAATACATATTTAATCTACTTCAGTGTTTGCGTTTACGTGGTGGCGGCACACGTCATACATATGTGATTGCTGGTGTGTCTTTCGGAGTTTTGTTGCTGCACATATCGGCTTATTTATCGCACATATATATTTGTCAAATCGTACTCTCAACGCGACACAAATTTGCACCTTTTGTATACTAAATATTCAAGCGATCGCAACAAAGCACAGAAAAAATTAACGCAAATATAAATAGCACAATGAAAAACAAAAAAAAAAAATAAAATAAAACAAAAGGAAATGAAAACAAAAATAATGCAGCGTGTAGTTAGTCGATGTATTTAATTGCTTTTCTTTTGAAATTACTTAAGTCGAATATAGTGGCGCTGTGGCAGTCAATAATCAATTAGAAATGAGTAAATTATAACTCGTAGACAGTTGATCAATTGCTCGCTCAGCTCGCCATAATTCTGTGCTGGCTGTAAAATAATTTTTTTTATTTAACTTTCGATATTTATTTATTAATGACATACAATTCGCACATTCGTAGAGTTGAGGAAATGAATATTTAAAATTTTTCTTTGTGGTTAATGCAGGCGTTAGTGAGTTGTTAAAATTCCCGAGAAAATTGTGTTTTCATCATACGAGTATTTAATTTTTTTTTTATATTCTGTTTATATTTTTTTCACCTTTCTTTATTTATTTTTTATTTTTTTTTTTTTTTAAATTTTCTTTTTCTCTTTAATCTGTTTTCTATTTATGTAATTATATAATATTTTTATTTATTTAATTTTGTTTATTTATTTATTAATTTTTTTTTATTCTTTTTTATTTATTTTTTTTACTTATTTATTATTTTATATTTTAAAATTTTTTTGCTCTTAATTTTTTTATTTTTTTATTTAATTTTTTTTTTTAATTTCCCTTTAATAATATAATATATATGTATATATATTATATTCTTCACCTCTCTTTATTTATTTAAAATTTTTTTTATTTATTTTTTTTTTAATCTCTTATCTGATTTCTATTTATTTTTATTTTTTTTATTTTTAATTATTTTATTTATTTGTTTTATTTATTTTTATCTGATTTCTATTTATTTTTAATTTTTTAATTTTTTTTATTTTTAATTATTTTATCTATTTATTTTATTTACTTTTTTTTTCTTTATTTTTTAATTTTTTTGTTTCAAATTTTTTTATTTTATTTTTTTTTTTTTATTAATTTTTTTTATTCATTTTTTTATATTTTTTGAATTTTTTTATTTTTAATTTTTTTATTTTAATTTTTTATCATTTTATTTTTTTTTTGTTTTTTTGTTATTTTTTTTGCCTTTAATAATATAATAGACAATTTGATTATAGTTTCACAGTTTGGCACATGCTGACTGGTTTATTGGCGCCAAATAAATGCATAAAACACCAACAAACATACTGTAAACGCCTCGTACTTTAGCTACACTTCCAGTGTAACTAATATTTTATAAAGAATTTCAAGTTTGTACGGGGTTTTCTCACTCAATTTTATCAGTAATTTGTTATTGTGTTAAATGAAAAACAAAATTAATACGTTGTATAAATATTTTCAAGCAGTAACTGCCTGACTTGCAAGCAGGCGCTGTGAAATTGTAGTAAAATCTAGTTAAATTCGGGTTATCGATAATTTTGTTAGTTTGGGTCTCTGCCAGGTTTCAGCATTTTTAGAGTGAATTTTTATAATTTTACTGCGCTGTTGATCGTTTTTTGAGTGTAGTTGTTACTTGTCAAATGTCAAAATTGTACACCTTCAAAAGTGACATCTACCGACCAATCAAAATAGCGCCTCTTATTGGAAAACTCTTTGTTGCGCAGCTTTGCTGTTGATGAAGTTTTTCGTCATTTTTATTAAAAAAAAAAATATTTTTTATTGCTTTTATTGCCTGCAAATCGTTTGTATGGCGCTCGCAAAACATGCTTAGAAACAACTTTTATTGTTTTTAAATAAATATATAATAAATGAATATACTGTCGTGATTGCAATAATTGCCCAGTCACATTTTTCATATTCATGTACATACATATATATGTACATATGAGTGTATGCATTTATTTTCACAAAAGAGCTTATTCACAAGTGTTCTTCGGCATCGCTTTCACCGCTACTCGCACACGTACAGTTGCACTTTTTCAATAAAAATGCTAATTTTCTTTTATTTCTATTTATTTCTGGGAAGTTTAGCGCTGATTCACTTGTAAAAGCGCTTACAAATTACGCCTTGAAATTAGCAACAACACTTGCGAAAATGTGATAAGGAAAATATCTACGAGATTGAGAGGGTTTTTTGCAACAGGTTAGGGGAGAGAGGAAATATCATATGGAAAATTTGCTATAATTTTTTTTTATTTAAAAAATATTATATATCTGTATACATATGCCTATCTTGAAATTTATTTATTACAAAAAAAAAATAATAATAATTATATTATATTATTAAACAATTTCTTATTCTCCATTACTTTTCAGCTCTCGCATTTACACACACACACACAAACACACCACACGCTTACAATTACAATTGTAAATTGTGACATTTTCTACTGCAAAAGTGTCTTCACCAAACAGCAAAATTCTACCGCAACGTCGTCGAGTACACGAAGCGCAAGAGGAAAATTTCGAGACCATTTTTGATTTAGAAAACGTTTCAGATATGGCTAAAATTGCTAACACATTTGGTTCATCGCCCATTTTGGGTAGCATCTATTTGGGTGATAATTGTGAGGACTACTCGCTCATCCGGCCCGATCCTAGTGAGCTATTCGAGGATCTTATGCCATGGGGTAATGCGAATTGGGGTAGCACCATTTGGGGTGATATACAAAAAATGGATAGTGGCAATGATTTACCCATTAGCGGTACACCCGATTATTGCACTTTCAAGACCGAATTACGTAATAGTGATTGCATGTGGTCGGGACCATCACAAACCGAACTGAGTACGTCGGCCACATCGACGGGCAGTGATTTGGCTGTATCACGTGCGGTACCATTGTCCGCTGTCACCGCTAAGCCGGCGCAATCGCCAGCGCCAACTGTGGTTGTTGCCAATAATAATAAGAGTAAAATGTTGCAGTCGTCTGTTGGTGTACAACAAAAACAGCAACAATATGTTGAGATAAAAAGTGAAATAAAAACAGAACCGAGTGATGATTATGAGAAGCAATTGCAACAACATAGCATACCGAATGTACGTAATGTTGTTGTCACTACAAATCAACAACAACAACAGCAACAACAGCAGCAGCAAAAGCCACAACATACGTCGGTACAAAGTATGCAGCATATACCGCCTGGCACGTCGCTCTTACGCAAATCGAATGTATTGCAACAGCAGCAGCAACAACAACAACGAAAATTACCGAAACACCAACAATTGCAGCAAAAGCTCTCGACATTGCATTTGTCGTCGGGCAATATAGTAAAATCGAGCACGCCAACTAATAACAATAACAACAACCACAATCACAATAACAATAGCATAGTATCGGCATTTGACACAATGAACTATGAAATACCCGATACCCCACCATCCCTAGACGATGAGGCTACCGACTTCAAACAGACCAATATCGATTTGCGTGCCTGCATGATGGGCAGTAATAATATCTCATTGAATGCTGGCATTATCGATAATATTAGTAAAGAATTGCAGGATACAAGCAAGGATAAAATCAATACTGGCCTAACCTCTGGTCACCATGATATACACGAAGTGCTCGATGTGATAATGCGCGATGAGAATAACAAGTCAATGATATATACAACAACAACAACAGCAAGTAAAATGACAACGCACAACTTGTCCGACTGCGATTCGGATGAGGATGAAGAGAGTACCGCCAATTCCGGTTACGGTTCTGCGTCGTCCATACTCGACGGTGAGTTGTCCTACGGACGCACATCGCCGGTATCAAGTCAAACCTCCAGCCAAAATAGTATGAGTCATCATCACACCGCACAGGCGCACTGTCATAGTGATCACAGTTATACGCGCTGTAAGGAAGGCATGGATGATCTCTCGAACTCGGCCTATACACCCTCGGATTCCGGTGAGTTATTGTATGGTTTTTTTTTGTTTTGTTTTGTTTATTTGTAACCGCTAAGTTATGAAAATACAATAATTTCGTAAACGTTCGAAGTTTAGAAATGAAAAGTGGTGTGCGTGTGTGGGGGGGAGGGAAGAGCGAGTTGGCCGGCAAGAAGCTGAATGGGAAAATGTGTCGAAAGCTCGAAAGCTTTTATAATCCAAAGTAAAAACAATTTCAACACGTTGTGAAATAGTTGTAAATTATACAGTTGTGTTTGTGGCGCCTGGGCGTTGCTAAATTGGCTGCCAAATCACTACATATATGTATGTATGTATGTATGTATGTATATTCGTTTGCACTATTAAAGTCACTTAGTGTAGCTGGCACCGTAATTTAATATTTCACACTCAACGCTCGTCATTTATCTATCAGCTCTTCACATTTTTTATTTGCTTCTATTTTATTCTCCTCTTTTTTTTTTTTGCATTGTTTTTTCGCATAGTCATTTAACAGTTTTTTGAACTCGCCAAAGTAGTTCACACTGCTGCAGCGATTTCATTTCCACGCTACTCAGGTTTTTCACTTCCGCGCTCAAGTGTGTCTACAAACCATATTTGTATGCAGCTGTGTACATACATACATACATACATACATATGTAGTTATGTACGCTTGTATGTTGAAATTGGAATATCTGTTCGAAACAATCAGCTTACCACCGCCCACTATTTTACCGCCCATTTACTACTAACCAACTAACAAGTGACGGCAGGCAATTGCCACTTTGGCAGGAGGTAGGCTTGAGCCGGCACAAGTCAGTTACGTAGTTGTTGGGCGGTAGTTGAGAAAGTTGGCGCCTCACGGACAGCTGTGGTAGGCGCGTGCTGTTTGTATAGCGGAAAAAATCGATAAACGAAATACTATTAAAAATGTTGGCCAACAACCCAAGAAAACCAAAGCCACGTTCAGAGGTCCATAGAATCTAGTTATGTGAGAATGTACATATGTACGAGTGTGTATGTATACACTGTAGCAACTGTAGCATGAGCAGTTAAATGCAAATACACAAATAAATATCAGTTTAAGCAATTATTACAGGTCATAAAAGCCTAAATCGAAATTTAAGAGTTTTCAAGTTTTGTTTAAGTTGAAAAGACTTATCTCAATCCTCCAGAAAGGCTGGCATAAAAAACTCACTGTTTATAATCAAATGCTGCGTTTCCTTTTTCTTGAATAACAATTTGTTTTATTTTTTTTTTTTTTTGATTTGTTTATCGTTTTATTTTTAGGTGTGTTTTGTTTTTTCTTTTCGTTTAATTTTTTTTTTGGTTTGTTTATCGTTTTATTTTTTGGTGTGTATTTTCCGTTTTTTTTTTGTTTGTTTGTCGTTTTATTTTTTCGGTGTGTTTTGTTTTCTTCTTTGTTCTATTTTCTTTGTTTTTATTCCTTTCATGGTTTTGTTTTTATCATTGTTTGATTTTTATTTGTGTTTTATTTTTTACTTTGTTTTGTTTTTATTTTTGCTTTATGTTGACTATGTTTAGTTTTTGTTTTGTTTTTTTCTTTCATTTTTTTTTTCGTTTTGTTCTTGTTTTTTTCCTTTTTTTGTTTTTTATTTGTTTTGTTTTTTCTTAATTTTTTTCAATTGTTTTTTTCTTTGTTTTATGTTTTTATCTGTGTTTAGTTGTTTCCTTTTTTTCTTTGTTTGTTTCTATATTTTCTTCTGTTTTTATGTTGGTTTCTTTATTTTGTTTTTGTTTTTTGTTTTGTTTTTTCTTCATTTGTTGTTTTTTTTTATTGTTTTTTCTTTGTTTTATCCCTGTTTGGTTTTTTCCCTTTCTTTGTTTGTTTTTTTTTATTTTGTTCTTTTTTCTTTCTTTGTTTCTTTATTTTGTTCTTTTCTTGTTTTGTTTATTTCTTTGTTTTGTTTATTTTGTTCTTTTTTCTTTTTTTGTTTCTTTGTTTAGTTTTTTTTGTTTCATTTTTATATTTATTTGTCTTTTCTAACTACCCCAAATTTCGAGTTATGCGCTTCTCATTTCTGACCATTGATTTTTTGCCAGCTTTTTATAAGCTCATAGGCCTCAACACCAAATAGTGTAACCGAGGCAATGGCAAGAGTTTATAGGTGAAACAGAAAAAAAAAATAAATAAATGTGATTTGTAACTGTGCATTTTGTCGGCTTCCTTTATTGTTTTATATATATAAATGTATATATGTGTATACATATTGTATATATATATTTTCTGCCTTCCTTTTTCCCCAATATATCTATGTAAACCATAATATTTCTACTAAATACACACTGCTTATACTTTTTACTGCTACAGACGTAGTTTCACATTTTTTTTTCGCTATAAAAATGTACATATGTATTTTTATTTGCAGTTATCATTTGATTACTCTTTGTCTTTTCTATTGTCATATCCTTTTATGTTCTACTTTTTCCGTCGTTGCTGCTGTTGTCTTTTGATTATGCTTTTGTTTCGAGAATTTTCCTTATTTGGCTGCATTTAAGTCATATGTATGTATATATGTATGTAAGTACCTTTCGATGCTGGCGTTATAATGTACTGTTATTCTTTCTTTTTTTTTTTTTTTTTTTTTTGCATTTGCTGTCGTTGGTGTTGCTTGTCACCCATGTTGTTTTTTTTTTTTTTTTTTTTTTTTGTAAAAATTTGTCTACTGGGTGTGTTCACTTGGCGCGAAAATCAGGCATGCGCAGTGGCGGTTAGACTATAGTAAATTTTATATATACATATTTTGGGTTGTAGAAATTTCGATTGTGATGAGTAATAGTGCATAATATCATTCATGTTGAGTAGTAGATGTGTGTGTATTGAATTTTGCTAGAAACTAAACTAAAACAAAAATAATAATTTTAAAGCATCCTTCGCATGACTTCGTCTTTAAAATGTCTAAAAGCCTAATAGTAAATGAATGTATGTATATATATGCATATGGTACTTGGAAAAATTATCAACATTATTTTTTTAATTTTTTTTTTTTTTACAAATTTGTGTTTTATAAATTTTTGAAAATTTTAATTTTTTCAACTAATATTTTTAGATTTTCTTACATATGTATATGTGCATATTGTGCATATATTTTTTACAAAAAGATTTTAATTGAATTAAAATTAATTTGGAATTGCAAATTTTTGCTGGTGCAACACGCCAGCATTGGCTTTTCGCAATAACAGTTTTCACGACGTGTTAGTAACTGAGTGCGAGTATACATGTATGTGTATATGTATGTAGTAACCACATACCATGACTACCATTGACTGATAGTGGTCGTCCTCCTCCGCAACTCCTCCATATTTATTGTGATTCTTTCTGACTTGATCTCTTGTTTTTGTTTTCTTTCTTTATTTTTTTTCAACTACTGGTACGTAGTAAATCCATAATGCACCTACTTCATTTTGTGCCCCATTACGTTGCAAGTCTAGCCCATATGTAGGAGTATACATATAAACATTTGTATAATATAATACTTCAGAAGCTTTGGTGGCAGTAGGTAATGTGGAAAATAGTGGCGATTAAATATACATATACATAATACATTGTAAGTTGCAAAAGAGGAGGCAAGTAGACATGCCAAGTGCATTGCACTTGCTAACTGACTGACTTTAAACGGCGGCGGGGGTCTTGTGAGTTGTTGCTTTACTAAGGCTCACTGTGGCAATGCGTGTTTGAATGAATGTTTGAGGCAAATGTTGCATGCAACACGAGTTGTTGGCTGATGAAGTTAGTATTTGCAATGAGAAATAAATTGTAATAAAAATTTAGTATTAGAAAAGGCAATTAAGGTAATAAAAATCTAAAATATTCAATGAGAAAATATAAAATAATAAATAGAAATGATAAAATATATTAAAAATTTAATAAATAAAATATTAATTAAAAAATAAAATATTAATTAAAAAATTAAAAAATAAATAAAAAATTTATAATAAATAAAAAAGTTTTATTAAAACTAAAAAAAAAGAAATAATAAAAATAAAAAAAAAATAATAAAATAATAAAAAAAAAAAAAATAAAAAATAATAAAATAATAAAAAAAAAAAATAAAAAATAATAAAATAATAAAAAGAAAAAATAAAAAATAATAAAATAATAAAAAAAAAAAATAAAAAATAATAATAAAAAAATTATAAAATAATAATAAAAAAATTATAAAATAATAATAAAAAAATAATGAAAAAGTAATAAAAAATAATAAAAATAAATAATAAAAAAATAGTAATGAAAAATAATAATAAAAAAATTTAATAATGAAAAATGACAATGAAAGAAACGTTTAATAACTAAAAATAAATATAAAAGAAATATTCATAGCTACAATGAAAATATATTTAAGAATTAAAAATAATAACAAATGTAAATAAAAAAATTGAACTAAAAAAAATATAATTAAAAATTAAATAATTAAAAATATTAATTACAGAATTTATGATAAAAATTTAATAATTAAAAATAAATATAAAAAGTAACTAGAGAAATAAATAAAAGTAATAAATTAATTATCAATAAAATATAATAATAAAAACCAAACAAATAAAAATATTAATGCAAAAATCTAAATTAATACACAAAAATTAAGAAATAAATAAATAAAAATAAGTTTTATTAAAATAATCAAAAATACATAAAAAAATAAAATAAATTAAAAACAAATCAAATATAAATAAATTAAAAATAAATACATTAAAAATAAATACATTAAAAATAAATTAATTAAAAAAAAATAAAAATGAATAGATTAATATAATTTAATTTATTAATTTAATTAATATAATTAACTAAAAATTAATTAATTATAAACAAATTAAAAACTAATTAACTAAAAAATAAATAATTATAAGTTAATTAATTAAAAATTAATAAATAAAAATAAATAAATAAAAAAAAAATAAATAAAAAAAAATAAATAAAAAAAAAAAATAAAAAAAAAATAAATAAAAAAAAAATAAATAAAAATAAATAAATAAAAAAAATAAATAAATAAAAATAAATAAAT